CATGCTTCGGCTTTCAAGCTGAAGAGCTATTATTTTTTAACTAATCAATTTGATCTTTAAAAACTCAGCTACGTAAAATGAAACAGCGGGAATTAATATAACTTACTGTTAACACATTCATACGTTTAAAAAAAAAAATAATTTTCAATTTTCATTTCTGACAGGCTTATTACAAAGCTCAAATACATATAATACCTTAGAATAATACCGTTAAACTATTTTATTGGCATAAAGATGACAGTATATTTGTTAATTCGAATTGCTTCGTTAATGAAGTCCAAAGGGGCAACTTGCCCTGAAGGACTATTAATTTCGTTTTGGCATTTTCCGTCGAAAACTTTAAAAGGCTGTATCACTTTTTAAATCGTTGCCACCATAACTTATCGCCCCGCCTTATATTTAAAGAAATTAAATAATGAAGAATCTGCATAAATGTATGTATGTTTCTGGCATTGTCATAAAATAACGGTACCCAGAGCCATCAAAATTTGAATAACGTAGCCAACTGGAAGTATCAGACGAACTTGGAATTGCCCAGAGTATCATCTCCAGGCTTTGGCAACGATTCCAAGATGAAGGTAATGTGAGTAGACGTTACAGCACAGGTCGCTCCAGAGTTACAACGCCGAATGAGGACCGGTACTTGGCAGTTACTGCCAAAAGAAACAGGCGGAGCACAGCCTCAGACCTGTCTCGTCGGATCTCTTCGGAAACTGGTACGACAATGTCAAGGCAGACCGTGTACAGACGCTTAGGGCAGAGCAGATGGGTCTATATGCTCGTAGACCTGTCAGATGCGTTCCACTTACTGCAACTCACTGTCGCCTGTGGTTAGTCTGGAGTAGAGAGCATGCATTGAGGACATCGCAACAGTGGGCTTGTGTGATGTTTTCCGACGAGTCCAGGTTTAGCTTGCAGTCTGATTCTTGCCGGACTTTTCATATGGACAGCTCCAGATACCCGTTACCACCAAGAAAACATCATTGAACGACACCGTTACGTGGTGCAAGAGTGCTTGTTTCGGGTGGAATTATTCTGGGTTCCAGAACTGACCTGCATGTTCAAATTGGAACTATGACAAGCCAAATCTATCGGGACATCATTCTGGAACAACATGTACGTTTCTTTCGGGGCGCCACGGGCGCACAATTTGTGTTTATGGATGACAACGCCCGTCCTCACCGTGCAAACATCGTAAGCGAATGCCTTCAACCAGAGGATATCACCCGTATGGACTGGCCAGCATCCTCACCGGGATTGAATCCAGTAGAGCACGTGTGGGACATGCTTGGCTGACGAGTTGCAGCACGTCAACCTCCTCCTACATGTCTACCGGAACTTCGGAGAGCATTGCCTTTTTGAGTGGTGTAATATTCCCCAAGATCAGATCGATAATTTGACACTCAGCATGCCCAGGCGTTGTACGGACTGTATTAAATCGTCTGGGAGACATACAATGTATTAACAATCATACCAACCATGTAATATTGGTTTTTTGTAAATAGGTTTTTTTTTTTTTTTTTTTTTTTTTTTTTTTGTAATTTGTTCCAGGGAGAAAAAATCGCTAATTTTTTTAATAATATCAAACATATAGCATCTTTTATTTGCTTTTTACCTTTTGTTTAATAAATAAGCTTTACAAATAAGTCAAATTTGTTTTGCTTCTAACTCTTCCTTTGCCTGATTTTGCATTATCCTTAATTTATGGACATGAGTGTATTTCATAAATTGTCAACAATTTTCACACCTTTAAGAACACTTGAAAAATGATTTCATTTTACACCCAAACTCTATGTTCCTGATAAAATTTCATTTCACCAAAAATTCTATCTGAAACAAAATGCACAGCAAACACTCAAATAAAGCACAAAATAGTATTTTAAGACAGTATTAAAACGCCAGCAAGACAAAGCAGTTTCAAGCAATTTGAGTAACACGTAATCACCAACTAAACCTTTTCAAATTAATAACATGGGACCAATTCTAGTTCGTTTGTGATTCAGATTTCCAAGTGATATGCAAAATGGCTGGTTCGAGAACAATCTCAATACTTATATTTTCTTCTGGTAGTGCTCCAATATTCATAGAAAGAACCACTTTTTGGCAGATTCACATCTTCCGTGCTAGGCGTTGGTGTCATCGGACACAACATATTCTGTCAGGCGCCTCGACCCTATTAGGTCAAATTTTCCAATAACCGATCCACATGCATGCCCTCATCATTGCTGCCAAACCTTACTGCTGGTAGTAATGATCAAATTGGGCGAGGTTTTTGAAAGCCAATATTAAAAACCTCTTTAAAAAAGAGGAGAAAAAATGAAGGACCGCGCCCGGCGAAGCCACTTGCAGACCGCTTGTCATAAACTGGTCCAATTTGTATGCTAATGTCATGGGAGTGTTGGCAACTAATGAAAACTCCATGGATTCGTTCGCCATTACCGAAATCCTTTACGCGACGATCATCACTGCCCAACGATAATGTAAAAACGCGGCGGGACGTCTAGAATAATACACATCCCCCCAACCTTTCCCCCTTTTCACGTGACCTTGTTTGACTAATAATGTTTGGAATGGAATTGTTGTTTTTGCTGCTGTTTCCTTTTCGATGTTTTTATTTGCACTTAATCGACCGGGCCCAACAAGCAATGTAAAGCACACCACCTGTTTATGTCTTTCAGCACAGACTAATCATATTCTTGAAGGAAGCCTTTTACAGGTAGAAATACACGCCAATGTCCAGCTTAATGGACGTAAATGACATCTGCTTCAAGCGAAAATAAATTAGGAGATCAAAGTCGTTACCACTCGCTGTTTTTTCATAAAAAAAGGCGAGCTCCTGGTAAGCTGTGATTTCATTAGTTTTGAATCACAGGCGTATGGCAAAGTTAACAGTAGTTCTGGAATAAATATGAAGTGAGATTTCAATACAGATGAATTCCGATGCGATATAAACTGGGAATTAATATGATAAAAAAAGTAAAACTATGGATGATAACAAGAACACTCGACCACACACAAAATCACATTTTTATGACCGAGCATTCGGCAAAAAGGCTGCCATTTGTTAGCATTCTTTCTTCTCTATAACAAAAATATCACACATATGAATTATGCCATGAATGAAACTTCAGGCTATAGGCAAAAGATTAAAAAATGAAACTTTTGTCGCAACTTTTAAAACACAAGAAAGGCCCCCCCCTTTTTTTTTAAGTTCTCTCAAGCTTTTTTTTTTTTTTTTTCTAAAAATCTACTTAATAAGTATCTTGATATTCTGCCATGATTCGAAACAAAACCCTGTGGCTTACATTTTGTACATCGCATCATAAATAAAAGCAATCTCTCTCTCTCTCTCTCATATATATATATATATATATATAAAGAAGAAAGTCTGTTTATTTGTCCTCTAATAACTCAGCCACTACTACAGCTTTTGTCGCCAAACTTTCTACGATTCTTTTCTGGGTCCTGGAAAAGGTCGAAGTCGACTTTGGGGGGGGGGGGGGGGGAAAGCTAAAATTAGAGATATTAATTAAAAACTCGCAAAAACGATCATTTTCGCCCTCATTTTTCCGAGTGGCAACAGTCTCGCAAGCTGGAGATGAAAATCTGCCTTATTTGGAAAGTTGTTGCCACTACTCGCTTTCAAATCCTAGAGCTTGTTAATAAAAAATTTCTAAGTTTGACGATGAAATAAAAAATAGCAGTTCCAAACATTAAATACATTATTCCCGATTCCAAAAATTTGTTGGAAGCCATTTCAACTATTCCTATTTTCGTATGACTTTAATCGGCCGAAATATTAATTAAAAACTCTGAAAGCGCTCATTTTCGCACTCATTTTCCGGTGGCAACAGTCTCTGGCATTGGAGATAATGCTTTATTTCGAAAACTGTTGCTACTGCTCGCTTTCAAAACGTAGTCTGTTAATCAAAAATTTTTAAGTTTTACAAAATCTATACATATAAAGAAGAATTTTTGTTCGTTTGTTCGCGTTACTGATTTCTGATCATTTATGATGAATGTTTTGCCACACTGAATCGACTAAAATTGAATATAGGTGAAATATTGGATGGAATTTGAGAGCTTTTACGACCATTTCATTAGAATGACGAAAATCATTCAAAACTGAGTGCCATTCTTGCTGATATAATAAAAGAAAATTAAGCTTATTTTTCTATCGAAATTGTTTATGTGAGCTCCATATCGCAGCAGACCGAAAACTGTATGACTATGAATCGTATTTTTTGCATCGTTGTTAGAGAAGGATTAGAGTGGTACCGTTCTCTCTGTTGTTAGATGCATTATTACTCTCAATCTAACTTAACCGGCATCAAGTACTTCCGCTAGTAGATAAGTAAAGAAAATGGCAAATCATGTGAGATTAAGAAAATATAAGCAAAACAAGAACAGAAACACCAGACAAACTTGCCATTATGAAATTCAGTTTTGTGTCTCACTCCCTTCTTAACGGCCACAATTATACTGATGCCCAATAACAAACTTAACAATATGGGACACCTGCGTTCTTAAAGATAATGAGATAAGACGGACCTAATGAACCAATTTCCCTTTTTTTTTTTTTTTTTTTTTTAGTGTGCAGTGACTCCCTGACTGTATACATCAGCTAGATACAAGGGCTGTGCCAAAGGTTAGTTGGTGTCTTTTAGCAAGGACTGCAAGGCCTCAGACGTTACCCCTGCTTCATCTTCAGACATGATACTAGTACTTTTGAGAAGCGTGAACCACTAACCAGATATGGGTACGGAAAAGTTGGGAACCATCACTCTAGTGGTGTTACAACTGATGTCATGACTCCTGTTATTTTCTCAACTAAATCACTTTAACGGACGAAAGACGTTAGAACAGCGGAAAATTTCGAAAACTCGAAATGTCATCCCCTCAACGCAGAGACACATGCTGAGAATACTACATACTGGATTTTAAACATTCAAGAGCCTCATTTCTGCAGCTGTGCATAAAATAGTGAAATTGAGACTTACCTGTTCGTACTTCTCGAGTTCTTGGTGATATATCTGTCGGATCTGGGCAAGTTTCGCCCTGTAGTCGGAATGCTCAATCGCATTCTCGCCCTGGGGCCCGCCGGGGCTTTGAGAAGCAGCTGCTGCAGACGCGTTCGCCGCCGCCCCTGCACCACCACCCTTCTCAGGCCCGGCGACACCCTCTGCTATCAACATATTGTCCAGCCTCATCAGCTGTGGATCTGGCGGTTCGTCTTCTTGAGTATTCCTCAGACTTAAGACTAAAAAGGAAAGAAGAAAAGAAAAATTAGGTTAACGTCTTGCAAACAATGAAAACATATGTCATGAACATAGTGACAGAGCAATCTCATGAACAGTTATCAGATAGATAAAAATTCTATTCAGATTATTCATATTCTAGATGAGTTTTTCAGCTGCATTTACGTCTGCCAGTTTTTATGACATTACTACCCATTAGCGCACAAGAGTCACATTTCAAACACTAAATGGTTTAAGGCACAATAACACGCCGAACAAATACTAATTCAGAAGTCAAACAACAAAAATCAGCGTTATATATTTTAAAATTTTCACAGGATTAGTTTCGATGGTTTTACCGAACCACCATCTTCAGCTGCAAAGCGGGGGGGGGGAATCCATATCGCAGCAGACCGAAAACTGTATAACTATGAATCATATTTTTTGCATCGTTATTAGAAAAGGATTAGAGTGGTATCGTTCTCTCTGTGTTAGATGCATTACTACCATTCTAACTTAACTGGCATCGGGATTTTTTTTTCCTCTTTTTTTGCTCTTTTGCAGCTGAAGATGGTGGTTCGGTAAAACCATCGAAACTAGTCCTGTGAAAATTTGAAAATATAACGCTGATGTTTGTTGTTTGACTTCTGAATTACTAAACGGATTTTTATTATCAATTAAATTATCTGCCGCTAAAAAACAGAAATGTAATAAAAAGATACATATTTCAAAATAGTTCAACATGTTTTAACAAATGCTGCATTGTTAAAATTTAGTAGATTAAAAAAATTAAATTACCAAAAATCTGAAAGGTTTCAGATTTAAATTTACGTCCGAACAAAATAACTTTAAAAAAATGAGCCTATATTTAGAATTTCCGATACACAATTCCGCGCGCTAGAGATTTTTTTTTTTTTTTTCCTTTTCTTTCCCCCCCCCCCCCGTAAAGCGGCGTTTCCATTGCTAGATTTTTAAATCGCTGAATTTGTTAATAAAAAATTCGTTATAAGTTTTACAAAATGTGAAATCGATAATAAAACAAATTCCAAATTTGGTCTTCCACGTGCCCATATTCGCAGTAGGATTACGTCCTTCAAAATTGGGCGGCTCTAGGTACCGTTGTCTGATCACAATGCGAGAAACATACACACACATTCATGCAGATTCTTCATTATTTAATTTCTTAAAATAAAATACAGAGTGATAGTATTGAGTGGCAACGGTATGAAAAGTGATACAGCCGTTTAAAGTTTTCAACGCAAAATTGCAAAACGAAAGCAATAGTCCTTTAGGGACAATGCCCTTTTGGACTAAACACTTGTGTACTACATGCATCTTACAAGTTCCCGTTTATATTAATTGGATATTATTTTATGATTGTCTTAAAAATAAATAACTTTTTATATATTAACCAATTATCTGCCAATGTTTTCAAATGTGAGCATTTATAAAATGTTTCTGTTAGATGTTTTTCAAAATCAGTGGTAATTCCTACGCTCAGTTACTAGAAAGAATGGATATGGTTTTTAAAGTAATTTCTCCAATGAAAAATTAACTACCGACTGTGAAGCTTAAAATAAGGTACAAATCAACGCATTTGTAGCTTATTTCAAACATTACAGTTGGCGGTCCACCCCCCAACAGAAAGTACACATAGTATTAATTTCATTGGTGATACGATTTAAAATTATAAATATTTCTATTTGTAGCGAAATTATTTACATATATTTTGCATGACTCTGATTTATTTTTGTTTGCATAATTTTGACTTATTTGCGATTGACTGCTAATTTCTTGACGTGAACATAAAACAAACCTAAAGTAATTTAAACAAACAATTCAATACAATTCCACGGCAATAACATAATGGTGTCCCAGAAATCAAATTCATAAATGTTCAGTTCATCTGAATTTGTCATTGAAAGAATCTGTGTAAATTACAGAGAGAACACGTCCTTCCAAAAAGTTGTGACACTCTTTTAATTACAACTTTTGTCTAATTAAATTAACGAAATAAAATATACCAACAATATTTACAGGTAATATACATGGTAATAAAAATTTTGATAATGGCGTCGAAGTGACACTTCAAGCATAACTCACTTACTGACCAATATTGTTACGAAATATCCAGACGCTGTGAGATAGCATCCCCGCAAAGCAGGTTTAGGGTTGCCATAAAAGGCAAAAGAAGGCAATGTTGCCACATTTGGCGAGAAATCGCCCGTTTGGCGACAAAACTAGCGATGTGTCATGGACGGATGGAGAACCTTCTGGAACGAATTCTTACCGGTTTAGCCCAGAATATTCTCGAACACAAGCCAAACACTATATAAACCCTGCTGGTACGCGGAGAGTCAGTGCGAGATAGTTAGTGTCTCGAGTTAGTCAGTCCGTGCGGAGTCAATAGAATTTGACAGTCGGTCAGCGAGTGCCGAGTGGGTCGTCGAGTGCATCGAATGAGTCTGTTAGTGTATCGCAGTTAGTGCATCGTCGAAAGAGTGTGTTGAGCTCCAGGAACGACTGAACCGAAGAGTCGGGAGCTGTGCTCTGTGTGTCGTCGAGTGCACCGCGAGTTGTAGCGTGGAGAGTACATGGAGTTCCGAAAACGAGCAAGCAGACCCGGGAGCTGTACTCTGGTGCTTTGCAGTGAAGCTGTCTCCACCGTTACAACCTGATAACCTGAAGGCTGTGTCGTTGATTGTGTCAGTGTGTTTATAGTAGTTCTTCGACGACTGTAACGTAATTTTGGATCTGTCCTGAGAAGGGTACAACCCCTCCTTGATAATTTCAAGAAAACGCTTCACATTTTTTTTTTTTTTTTTTTTTTTTTTTTTTTTTTTGTAAACCAATGGCGGGCACTTGCCTATAACGGCCTTGGCATTACTAAGGCCAGACGTGGTGGCCATTTTATTGTGGAATCGCCTAATAGGCGGCCAACGCTACCTTCCTATGAAAAAGACCTGCGCGAAAGAGAAGACAACATGCTTATGAGGCGAAGGCAAGTGAGAGAAGGATGGTCTGGACTATTTGGTTACGGCAAAGCACAGGAAGCTATTTGCCTGGAAAGCAGCCCTAGAGGACTTTCTAAAGGAAACTGGCTCGTATACACGTTAGACATGGGGAAAACCACGAAAACGCAAAACAGCCTGGCCCGTTCGCCGGGATTCGAACCTCAGTCTGAACTACCAGTGTCCAGCGACTTTACCGTTCGGCCGCTGGTAGACGCAAGTGAGAGAATAGTGCTACGATTGTGATGCGATATTAGATCGGAATACTGAAATAATGGTTGCGCTTTATTTCTGTTGGTTAATTAGGGTTTTTGCGTTGCAAAATTTAACAATATTACTGGCTAAGATTTTTTTACTCTATGTATGTACGCGCAACGTAAGTGTTATATAAGAATCGTATGACAAGACTTATTTTCGAAACGACGCAGTTCAAAGAGCTTTATTATAAGCATGCTACTATTCGTAAGCTAGAAAGAGAAAAATAACCAAATCAAACGTGAGACAACTATGGGGCTATTACACGTTAGGTTTGAATTTAATCTCAGGTATTTCTTATAGACAAACACATACACAGTTTGCATAAATTTTATACATAGTACATAATATAAACTAAGATAGTAATTGAATTCGATTAATAACAATTGAACTATATATTATTAAACTTCAAACAAATTGGTCCAATAAACCTAAACCTACAAGGAATACTCAAAACAGGTGACAAGTAAAAGAGGGCGCCTTACATAGACCATGGAGGTAGGAAAGGGAGGAGGGGTCATTCCGCGCTAGAAGTGAAGCACTGCTTTGAAGCTTGGGTCACCAGACGGGGTGTTCTTTGTTTACATTCAGAAGCTCGCTTGACAAGATTCTGATAGTATTTCGACACACGACAGTTCCATAGAAATCGAAAAAGGGACACTCTCGCATGAAAGAAACATTCATAGTGTGATGGATAATAGCAATTTGTATAGTTTACTGACATTTACGCAAAAATCACATCTTGGTTATTTTTCGATATAACTAACAACAGCGATTTTGATATGAATTTTTTTTATAAAATTCTAAGCTGTTGCACTACAAAAATATAGATTTTAAGAAAATTGCTAAATGAAATCTGCCAAAATTTATTTTCTAGAAGATTTGAAAAGTTTGAAACTTGATGGCTAAATGTAAATATAAAATTATGTATGTTTAAAATATTTGTAATTAGGGCACATAGGTCAGATTAAGTTTTTTAAATTAAATAAAGTAACGCATGCAAGGGCTATCTGCCTAAAGAGAGAGATGCCATCCTGGAGAAATTTTGAAGAAGAAAAACTGACCTTTGAGTGGGTATTAAAAATATACTTATAATTTTCATTCAAATTATATTCATATATATTTTTTATGTAAAACTTTCGGGTGTATGCTAAATTAGTGTAAAATTACTTTACACGAAAAATATAGTGAATGCACAGAAATTAAAGATTTGCACATGCCGGAAATGATAAATAGGAAATATGTATGGGTATTTATGCATGTGCTTGCAAAAAGCATGTATCTGCCTTTGACAAAATACTTAAATATTCATTAAATTATTTATAAATGTATTTGAAATGAAGAATTTATTCACTTATAAACAACTGTGATAAGTACCGTGAAGAAATCTAATGATTAAAATGTATCTAATTTATAATGATTATAAATGTTATCTAAATATATAATAACCTTAATATTGAATTGTAAACATAAATTGAAATCCTGTTGACAAATAAGTTATAAAACTATTTAGCAAGAATTGTTTCGTATTGGAAAGCAATCTGTTAAAAAAAGGTATTGTAAAGCAAATGCTATGAGATGCGCACTTAAGAACGTAATAAGAGTTTTGGAATATGTATTGTTGAAATGAAGGGTAAAAAGAAAAAAAAATCTGATAAGTATAATTAAAAGAATTATTCCCTTTACATTTTATAATAACTCAGTTACAAGTTTTAAATAATACTTAAAAAAAAAAAAAAAAAAAAAAAAAAAAATTA